AGGCATGCTTACGCTGACCCCCGTGTCACTGGCAGGAGACGGACGAAAGGCTCCAATTCTGCTGCCGTCAAAATTAGCAGTGAATTTGTAAGGGAACAGTACCCGGCCGCCAGCATGCAGAGCATCCTGAGAATTTCTTATTCCAAGCAGCACTGACATTTTACTGCTCCTCCAGCCTGAGTACTGTTTGTTAGCAGCTAAAACAAATGTTTGGAGACATATGTAAACAGCACGATTGAGAGTCATAATGGCCATTAATAACAAGGAGGCTGGGTAGAGAAAAGCAAAGACACTGAATGATGGAAGCTGAAAATATTGCTTAAATATCTGGGTGGAGTGCTGGTCTCCTGTTTCGTCTGTTTACAACCAGCAAGTTTTGCTATATCCTGCTCCGGTGAGTCACTTGGAGATGTAAAAAGAACTGAAAAAACACTTGTTTTAGAATTTTTCCCCTTTTAATGAGATGACAACATACGTACCTTTCAAAAAGGACAAAATAAAGGTATGAATCTCATTTAAAGTGCATTCAATTCTAGTTTAATGTCTTTGCTGGCCTTGAGATGTGTAACAGTTTGCCAAAACTCTCACTTAACAGATAGATAGGTTGATCAACTGATCCATCTAAATAAAACGTGATGTTAGGAGAATAAGAACTCCACAGATTGGACCGAGTTCTAAAGTATGAGTGATGAAATCTCCAAACAGTCCTAGAAGAAATCAGTACCAAATCCTTTTGGTTATGCTTTTTAAGCACAGACACCTGGTGGGGTGGGGTGAGGGAGAACAGTCTTGGGCACAAATCGGAGAGAGGTGGTACCTCTCCAGAGAGAACAACTCCGGAAGTCTAGGGCGGTTCAGTGCATGTCAGTGCCAAAGGAGAGGGGTTGTCAGGGAAGACCAAGGACACAAGTCCTCCCTGCTCTTTCTCAGGAACGGCCCACACACAAAGACACAATGCTGACCGCACGCTCTACAAGCTGCGCACGGCTCACGCCTTGTGTGCCCTGCAGCAGGGTCTCCACCGTGCATCCCTGGTGATCGGCACGGTGACCTTTTTTTCCACCTCTGTGGCTTCCTGTGCCAGGCACATCTCGGTGATCTTTGGCTGCAACCCACACACAGGATCACACAGTGCTGTGTGATCGTCAGGATTAACCTTCAGGAGCCTATCTATTCAAAAAAAGACTTTTCAGGCACGCACTCCAGGCACGACCTAACAACATGGCCCCCTCGGCTGTTACTTGTCCTGGTATGTGGGGTCTCCCAAGCTGGGATATAGGAAACTCAACATGTTTGGTATTAATTATATACTCTTCAAACTGCAACTGTGCTTACAAAAGTGATGCTGAAGGGATGGAAATGCTGTTTGCATTAAGGCAGATGCAACTTGTCTGCATAAAGTGTTCTGGAAATCGGCTTCCCTGCTTCCCCTCTGACGTCCTGTGGCCTGGTCTCGCCGCTTCCTTCTCACAAGGGTGCAGCTGGACCAGTTACCAAAAAAAAATCCCACAAAAAAACCAGAAAAAGAAACAGATGGAAGGCATTCCTTTCGGGCATGAGGACTAGGGACCTGCCCAGGTGGATAAGTAAGCACCCCCGGCCTTTTCTGTGAGCACAGGCATGTCCATAGTGTGGAGTGTTTGTTTTGGACAGGTTGCCCAGTAATGGAAAATACACTCTTTATAAAATAAACGGTAGAAATGCTTATTAAAAAAACACCACAGAATGGACCAGAATGATGCTTCCAGCTCACTGTGACACACACGCCGAAGGAGGTTAACTCTGACTTTGGGTGACACAGAGACCACTGTCCAGTGGGGCTCAGCTGCGATGTAGCATGGCGGGCTCATCCTTATGGAGACCGGCAGCCCGAGGCCTTACATTTTTCTTTCCACAGCCATCTCGTCACCTGAAAGCTGGACGATGCTGTCCCTCCTAACTCCTGAGGCCGAGGGAGATGCTGGTGCTGCTGCTTCCCACGGGAAAACAGCCGCCTTTCACCGACTGTGCCAGGCTAACGGCCTGCATGGCACAACCCAGCACCTTCCTGGCTGCTCACCCCCTCTGCCATCATGGATTAAGAGTCTGCTCAGCGCGTATCTGTGGGGCAGATGATCTTTAATAACTCAGTAGGGCAGAGAAGAGTACACCAGAAACAACCATGTACAGAAACCCAGAGAAGTAGGGCGCCATATGCTGCTACCTGAGCTATTTTTGCCCAACGTTTGCCGTTGGCAACAAATAAGAGCCAACATGGCTTTCTTTTCACTCTGCTGACACAACCTGCTTGGGAATCTGACTCCTTCTAATTTCCTGGCCCTCTGTACCCTTACTGACCAACCCGACACCCCTGTCAGTACAGACATCCTGAAGGAAGGAGAGAAATACAGATTCTGCTGTTTGAGTAGTGCTGGGGTATTTTCACCTCGGGGGGTGCTCCTATAATATTTTATACATGGAGAGAGCATGTAAGACATTTCTATAAGCGAGAATAAGGCAGTGGAAGACGGAAGAAAGAGGATAAAAGCAGAGGGGTACATGTTTTAAAAGCCTGAAGTTAAAAGAACGGGGGAAAAAAAAAAAAGGAATTAAAATTAAGAGAATCAGCATAGTGATTTTTAAAAATGCTTGGGTATAGTTAACCAGAATATATGAGCAGTGCTAAAAAACAGGAAGTAGATAAATATATACAAGGATGAATAAGTACAAAGTGCTGACCTTTGCTGTGGGCAACTACTGAGCCCTAAATGGCAAAGTGCACTCAGAAAACCCATCTGAATGAAAACAGAAAGTATATCCCAAAAGTTACTAAGAGAATGGAGTATCATTACTAACAGAATGCTATCATGCAAGGTAGAAGCACACACAAAAAAAATCCCTGAACAGAAATGTAACAGCAGAAAACAATATTATCTGTAAGTGCTCAACTAGTATGATTGTGTAATTATCAGAAACAGAGGTCAGCTGAAATAAAACAAGGCTGTAAGGAAATCACAGAAGAGTACAAAGCAATGTAAGAAAAAATATTGTTTGAAAGATCTTTGGCAACAGACAATTTAGAGGAATAAAGAACAATCTGGGATAAGCATTTGTATGCATCACCAAAAGAAGCTATCACATCTCGAGGCACGGCACCAAAGAGGCATTGGAGGAGTTGTGGAAGTGCAATTGCAAAGATCCACCAGGTTTGGGTGACACAACAAAATTAGGTCTTTGGTGAATTATCAAATCAATTTATTATTGCTAAAATCTGCTACTGCAATGAAAAATATGAGAATAAAAAGATAAAATGTATTTAAACTTTCAAAACAGCTTCTAAATAGAAACTTTCAAAGGAGACTACTGAAGTCGTGCTACCTATATGGGGGGAAAGATAAAAGCTCTCAGTGGTTCAAAAATTCGTGAGAGACAGAACATTAAAAAAAAAAAAAAAAAAAAGCAGTAAGTGGTTAGCCATTTCTCTGGCAAATGCACTGAAAAGTGAAGAAGGTTTTGCACAGAACTATGTTACTTTGCACTTTTAACTGCATGGAGAACTTTGGGAAAAAAAATCAAGAAAACTAAGCAACGTAACAACTGATTAATTACACTGCAGCCAAATGTAATGCATTGACAGGAACAGTACAAGATAGATTTTTCCCCAAAGGTAGCTATAAAATTATTAAACCTCTTCCTCAAAGACTCATTCTGCATGTGGACTCAAGTCCTACATCAAGTAATTCTCGTAACAATTCTCACAACCCAACATGGGAGGCAACTGGATTTATCCAAACAAATGTGTCAGTGGACTTTCAGTTTTAGAAGGATTAATGCAAATATTTTTCATAGCCATGTTTTAAATCAAGAAAACAATAATCACATATATGAAGTCACCAAACAAACAAAAATTAAAAGGAAAGCATTTTCTTCCTGACAAATAAAGTAACTGAAGTGGGAATGTTCATTTTTTCAATGGAATTTCAAAGTTCCATCCTTCTACCAAACTAGATTACAAGCAATAACATCAGAGTAACTAAATCACTTCTCTTGTTATAAATTTGTGTGTTTGTGTGTGTGTTTGTGAAACTGGGGTGTCAATACTGAGTTTTACTACCACTCTTCCAGAACTTCTTTTCCAGGAGAGCACACAAAATTAGACGCACAATTACCTACATGCAGAAAACTGCAATTTCAGAGACACTTTTCAGATCTCAATGTCTAGACTTAGCTCAAATGGCTGCAAATTACAGGTCAAGTCCAGTGGATTAGGACCCAGCCCATAAAGCTGATTAATGTCCAAACAAAAGAGTCCAACCATGTAAATGTAAGAGTAAATCCATGTCACATGGAATCTATTAAAACCCAACTGATCAGTAGCACTGAAGCATTTCTATATTTTAAACAACAGCTATTTTCCTAGGGCTCAAAAAAGAAAAGCAAATCAACTGACTTGCTTGGGCAGGGCTGGGTTCACATGCTTTGCAAATTGAAAGACGAGAGTGCAAATGCGGGTAAACAACTGGATCATGTTATCCGGACTGGATGGTGAAAATGGGGAGAAAGAACAAGGAAGAAAAGATGCGGTCCTTTAACTCGTCCTTTTCTACCAGGAAATAAGCTTTCAGTTGAAGAGATCTGGGTTATACTAATGACAAATAGAAAAGATAAGACATATTTTTCAACTTGGAAATAAATACCGAGGCAGCACATCAGCTCGGTAACATTCTCCCACTCCAGAAAGTATATATTTAAGGCTAAAGAAGTCTCACATGCAAAACTAAGACCCAATCAGTAAATATCTACTCATTTTATTTTACCTTTGTCTCTGTTCTTCTCCTTTCCTAATGAGTCCAGTTTCTTTCTTAATGATTTCTTCCTCTTTTGTCCATCTGTAAGAGGAAAAAAGAAAAAAAAAAAGGAAGTGAAGTGAAAGAACGCTGAACAAACTGCTGCACAAGCTGTAGGAACATGGAGTGAGATGGCCACGGCACTTGGAGTCAGGAAGGGCGTGGGGTACATTTCTCAAAGGCTAGGGACTGTCACAGTCCTTCAGCCCTAAGGAATGCTGCTTTGTTCACCCAAACGCCGAGGTTGTGGCAAAATGTATCCCACTGCATGCTGCTGGGCACATCTACACATGCATGGTCATGCAGTCCATGTGGCAGAATAGAAAGCTAATTTTGAAGACTTAACAATGGAGATTTGTTGCTGGATGCTCTTGATAACAAGGTACCTAAAGGTACTGGTTAGCCCTCATCCATGGTCACAAGATTGTGATTCAGGTGTAGAGCTGAAGGTAATATCTGGAGAGGGAGGATGACTAACCTCCAGGATAAATTCTGCATACCAGTCATACCAGTTGGGTGATAGCTGACCACCTTCACATGACCCATCTCATCTGAACTCGCACCGAGAGCTTGCAGTTTGGTACAGCATGCCCAGATTGGTTCAGGTGGATTAGAGTCTCAGAGAAATTATTGTTCTGACACCCTATATACCATCCAAGTTTTCACTAAGGTATTAAGGACCAAAGATTTTAAGCAACAGTGTAGGCAGGTTCATTCTTGAAACAATTATGCCAAAAGGTTGGCTATCATAATTTCCTTCAGCAGCATCTTTTATAATGAAAAGTCAACAAAAATGCATTTTATTTATTAGGTCTCAACAAATACCAGGGATCCTCAACAGGGATTAAGACATGGGCCTGCTTTAACTTGTACCTTTTGAATTTTTTCAGTTCCAAAGCAATATAAAGAGTCTAACATAGGGACTAATACTAACGCTAACATAGGCACCACTCTAGCTAAAGGTCAATGAACACGTACCTTTGCCTTACTGGTTTTGTAATATGGCAAAAACTCAAAAATGAACACACCGCATCTGTGTTTCACTTTTATGGTAAGAAGGTCACTAAATAATTTGCCTCAACACGTTCTTCTAGTTATATAAGCCAGTGTCTTAAGTGGTCTTTTACAGCAAGGAACATACCACAGAGGAGTGCAGTGGATCTCCGTGGATGAACTTTCATCTTTGCAATCAGGGGCCACAAGAGAACACAAGCCGTTTCCCCATTGCAAGCCATACCCAGAACATTACTCAACAGACAACTGGATAAATTCTGACTTTTTCATAGCCAGTTAATAGCCTTTTACTTTAAAATTAACATTTCTTTTTACCTTATGTAACTGTGGTTTGATCAACTCCACTTGCATTTGGCATTTATTTAGAGCATGTTTGCTCCCAGCACTCACTTAACTATGATACTCAGTTCCTGCCTCTTCAGGTAGATTGTCATTCGCTGGTTATGTTAATTCCCCTTTTTCCGCACCTGCTCCGGTGAGAATTCATCTCTCTGAAATAAGGCTGACTAGAATGGATAAGGTATTCCGGACAAGAGTTCAGCAGTATAATGGTGGAAATTCATTGCCTGATACGGTCTAAGATTAGATTTTCCTTTTTCGTAGCCACATGACAAGTTCATAACTCAAATTCATACTTTGATTGATTAATATGCCCAGTCTTTTCACACCTTCTGATGTTTCCAGTGGATAAGACCAAGTTTATTACAGAAATTCTTCTTTCACCTCTTGGCAATACAAATAGTCGGTAGCCTACATATGTACACCTGACAGTACTGCTTGTTTTTATAGGGTTCCCTACTACCATTGTGTTCTGATTTTATATATACGTAAAATTATTTTCAAAGTATTTTTCATGTTATAAATTCAAATTACTGCTTCACAGTAGCCTTTTGATAAATTACTTACTTTTCTTCGGACTCTGAGAGCCTCTATTCCCCAAAGACCCACTTACTGATATTTTGACATTCCATTGAAGTCCACTGAGACGTAAAAATGAGAACAAAAGTCGAAATCGGCTGTAAAATACAGTGTTTTGCTATTATAATTACACAACGGCAACTTCTGGAGTGTTTCAGTGCTGCATAGTCAAATATAACAGAAATACAGGAAAAAGGAATGCTATTCAACATTGAACACAGGAACAAACGGCACTCATATCCCACACGGAAAACAGGCTAACGACTTCTAGGGCCAAACTATCAATGCTTTCTCATGAACCTTGTTCTTAACGGGCGATTCTTTCAACTCCAACAGTGAAGTAGTTCCTCAGTAAATGACAGGCTGAGACAACATTTGTGCATTTGTCTCTGCAAACCTTGAACTTTGGATACAAGTGATGCTCAGGCCCAGAAGAATGTAAGAAGCAGGAAGCAGTTCTGGAGATGGACGAACCGGAAAATACAGAAGAGAGTCTACTCTGTGCACTCCTGAGCAAAGAAAGAGATCGCAGAGCAATAGAGGAGAGACACTTACCTCGGGCAAATGGGTGCAGTTCCACTGAAGGCAGTGGAGCTACGACCATTTATGTTTGGAGTTTACCCCACTGAAGGAGAAAGAGAGTTGCATATGAAAATAATAGAGAGGAATCCCAGTGAAAAGCTAAAGCTTAGGAGATCTGCCAGGAGGTCAGTTCCAGTTCTTCTCCTCCCCCAGAAAAAGATGTGATTAATTACAGTCTATGTTCTATAAAAATAAATATGTTTTGAAATGATTGCTGATTTAGGTTACATCAGGCATGAGCACTGCTAAAATATTCACAACGTGCTTAAGGACTTGTGCAATTCTAGCAGTTTTGTATCTTAAATGAACCCAATTCATAATAAAAATGCTTAGTACTTATTATCTGCAGCATGTTTTGAGAATTCAAAGCATTCTTGGGAAACAGGCAAAGCATTATTACCCGTGCATAATACCCACTGTACATTTTAAAATTAATTAGCAAATATTTATGCAAAATAGTATTGCATCAGTCCAAAGTGCTATTAAATATGGCCTGCTATTCTCATTTGTGCTTTGGAAATGTTTATCACAAAGTGATAAATGCTGTTAGACTTTCATCCAGCCTTTTGTGTATATAATTATCACCTGAAGTCTTCTTTCTATAGATCAACAATGTACTGCTCCTCCAACAGATTCCACTCAAGAATATTAGCAAGACAAGAGAAGTACTCAAAAGACAACTGTCACAGTGAAGGAAGCTGCATTTTTTTTCCTCATTAACCAATTGTGTTTTTTCTGAAGAACATCTGCCTAGGCAGCTGTGCAGATCAGTTGTTTCAGAAATGAACTCAGTTTGTTCAATGCTTACTAATTTATATGCTCGCTGCATTTTTCACTGCAATGCATACATCACCCTCTGGGCATCTATATATTAAGACTAGCATGATGCATATTTAAAAGACCATGAGTCTAGAATCAAACTCCTGAGTGCATATTAAATTGTTACATGACCTGTTTTTCCAAAGTGGTAAGCACTTCCAGGTTCAGTTAATGCCAAAAAGACTTTTCTACTTGAAAAATTAGGTCATTTTTTTAGGACTCTGTCAGTGAATGAAGCCTGCAGAATACAAGAATATTTGCACTGATACACCAACTTTGGACAAGAATTGAGGAGTTTGACTTCTGAGATTATTATTTTTGAAATTTTGGTTTAACGTTGAAATTCATCTACGGTGTCATCACTAACACCATTTAACTAGCAGTTACACTCTCAAATCCCAGATTTTGTATAGCCCATTTCAGGACCTTCACTGAGACTAGGATTCTACAAACTAGGTAATAAGAAACCATTTTCATGCTGAGGATATATAAATTTCAGCTCTAAAAGTTAAAAAAAAGGAAAGAAAGACAACTTTGTATTTTTTTATATGACAGATCGCTCTGTTGCTTTGCACAAGACCACCTGCCAACACCACATATGATTCAATGAGAGAGAGTGCAGGCTGAATCCTGTTACTATTATTTACTTCCAGTACTGCTTTACTCATTTTAAAGTTATGGAAATCAACATGTCTATTTGGTAGGTACAGGTGTTGCTCAGCATAAGCAAAACCATCACAAATGAGCCACAGGGAATTTGTTCAAGATGATAAAGTTAGTGGCACACCTGGAGTTAACATTCAGGAACTCTTGGCCACCAGTTTCATATTATATCACTTAATAGCCACTATGCTTTGAAGTCCTAATCCAATTTTTTTTTCATAATTAATATATATATATATCAAAAAGTACAACAGCACCTGAGCTTTCTAAGTCATTTTTATGACACTGACTATCATAGTATTAGATTTCAGATGATGGAAAGTACCTTGGCAATAAGCTTAAAGTGCACCTGTAACAAAAATACAATTCTTCAGCACTGTCTTCCCACACGGGCTTGTGGATTATCTATACGAATGAACATTCCTTTTATATTACTTACATGCAAGGACACTCATTTTTGTTAATCAAAAATATAATTTATAAATTCATACAGAGACTTTAAAGTAATTTAACTCAGTGGGTTTTTGACAAAAGAGACCTTCTGTCGCTTACGGGGTTACTGAATAAAGAGAACTCCCCTCCCCATCTATTAGCAACTTCCTTTGCTTATGAGAATTGTGTTTCTTGTCGGAAGAAAATTTGTCATGTTCTGCAACTAAGGGTTATTTTCACACAGTATAAAGAGAGGAGTTATGTTATGAATATCATACCCATAGCTCATTTATCAAAACAGAAATGGGTGAAAAAGTTGGTATTGTGAGATTTCTAAAATACTTCTTCAGAGTAGTTATATTCATGGCCATTTTCCCTTTATAGGCATTAGTAATTGGATCTAATTACATTTAAATAAAAAAAATTAAAATAGAATGTATTTTCTAAAAGTGTAATCCATTCCATCTTGAAAATTACTACCAGCGGCACCACAAAGCACCGAGTTTGACCTCTCTTGAGGACTTCTCAGTTCACTTCACTCATCGAGAGCGACTCGTTTCCCAAGCACTAGCCTCCCACACTCAGCCTGTGAGCGGAACGTCAAGCTACAGTCT